TTTTGGCCCACTGTGTATTTGAGTTTGACACCCCTGTATTAGAATATTAGTAAATGCATCGTGTTGGTGCCATGTGACTGAATGATATTTGCATTAATGATTTGCCAAACGAATTGGCCAGTCAGTGTATGTGTATTATTCAGTTACACTTGATGTTACAGACCAGCAGGAAATTTAAAATTTAGGAATCACAAGTCACAGTGCTATGGTACATCTCAGTTAGCACAGGGTGTATCGTTTAATGACAGAGTATAGAACACATAGAATATGATTTGTTACTATGATTATAAAACAACTGCCAATTGTTTCTCATTTTCAGTCTTGTTTTTAATCTCTCTGAGTGTATATATTGTTTTATATTGTCTCCTTTAGGGAGCTTTATTTGAAGTTTGCTTTTCATGTTTCTCCACTAAGTTTTTTGTTGTTGTTGTAGTGCATTCTGTTGAATTTTTCCTGCGATTACTAGATTTTTTTCTTTCTTTTGCACCCAAAAGGTCTACTGCATGTGGACCATTAATGATGTGATGCTGATGACAAACAACTCCAGAGGCTGAAGAAGTCACTTGGATGAGTGACGAAACGTTTCTCCCTCTGAACACGCTACACCCAGTTGAACAGAATCAACTTTTGGGGATTTACCTGGATGATTGAGCATGCATCAAGAGACTTTGTGATACAATTACAGTAGACTTTATTAGTTGCACTGTGACTTGTTTTAGTATATAATATGAATCAGTAATATAAGGAAATATATTTACTTTTAAAGCAAATATCACTTTCGATTGTTGAAAGCAGGGTGGATTAACATGAGCCCCCCTCTGTTCACTACTCTTCAGGCCTGTTTCACCTTGAGGAAGATGGATCTGATTGGCCTTGTCAGCTAATCCAACTAATCCACTGCCACTCCCTTGTGCCCAGATACACTTTCCTTCAACCTATCCCAATGGCAATGTTCCCTCTAAGCTCTGCGTTTGCGCACTGCTGGCATGGTCTCTGCGCACAGAAACTCTGCGTTGCGCACAAAAAAAACCCCTAACCTGAATTGAAATTAAAATGAATACTTTAACAATTCTGTTTTGCTGTGTTAGTCAGTGACTGGCTG